TCCGAAGTGTGCTTGGAATCTAAACAACTTTGCAGCATTTGCACTCAGCAGGGATATGGAATTGCTTTGAAATTTCTGGTTTATGGGTAGTTATATATCTCAAAATGAAAGGATAAATCAATATGAAATCAGTACAAGAGCCAATCAGAAGGAATTTTAAATGATAAAATCCAGACATTCTCACATGTCTGAAGCAAATACATGGGCTGGAAATTCTTTCTATTTGCCTTTAAGCTGTTCAAATTACTGTTTTTACTTTTTCTTCCCAAGCATGACCACTTGAAACTTTATTTTAAAGTGATATTCTCATAAGTTTACATGAGAAGCTCATGAAGCTCATTCACATGAGTTTAGGGCTTTATTTAAAGTACCACTGTCAAAAGGGCTCATAGTATTGACTCTGCTATCTGTAATTAAGAAAAGGGAGAATGAAAATTTGGCAAAAATCCAAGACTTTCTATGAGAGAAGTTAATGTTATATATTCAGTTTAAACAGGTAAAATTAAAAGGGAAAAATAAGGGTCTTATTTCTACTTAGGTGAGAAGTTCAGAGAAAACTGAGTGACTTCACCAGTAATCAAGGCTGTGAATTCTCATTGAGTAAAATTAATAATGATTAAATGAAAGCTACTTACAATGAGTAAATTAAGAATAAAAATGATTAATCAAGTGACCATAATGGCAGAGTTGCTGCTGGCTGATAATTAGTGCTGAAAATCCAAAAACATCACTGATGACACCTAATAGTCATCTTTTCTGCTCAAACTATRAATGATAGGAGCACTGATATGAACAGAAAATAACAAAAGTTGATCGTTAATTCAAATTTAAAATTCCTGAAATGAGTAAATTGCTTTCTACATTTAGTCTGGTTTGATTTTATTATTTGAAAGCTGTATTTTTTCCCTGTGGCTTCTAGTCCTGAACAGAAAAAGAAATACTGTGATTTTATGAGTGCAAATGRTATCTTGGTTTATCTTAAGCACTTTAATCACTGAGATGCAATGTGTTTTAATACTATTCTGCCTAGCAACACTTCCAGTACTTACTGTCCACAAGAGACAGCCTGGCAACATAATAAGGAGAAAAATGTAATCTTTTTAGCTATACCTATGTTTGGGAATGTTAACATAAGTTGGTTTGCTTTGACTCACTTACTAAAAATAAAATTTCTTCCTGGAAAAATGTTCAGCTTCTGGATTAGCAAACGGATAAAAATGTGTTGGCAATTTCAAGAGCAATTACATGGGAAGTTTAACAAGAATTCATTATCACTGTATATTTCAACACTTCAAGACTACACGGGGCAAGAACTAGAACTATGAACTAGAATTCATACCTATACACCTATATATACTTACATACTTCTCTGTTTATGCATATAATATATATCTACTTACACATCTGTAACTTTTTCAGAAGATAGATGATGACAGCTCAAATGATGTCAAGTGTCATTAACAGCTATGTAAACWATAAAGCTGAAGGCTTTTTTGGTATAAATAATTTTGCTTTTCTTATGTTAAAGATGTCTGCAAACACTTATTTTTCATATATGCTTGCAAAAGAAACCAAACAGCCTACCTTTTCCTTTCCACTATTGGTATGGTGAGGCATTCCCTAAGTAAAATCTAAGCCATCTAATGGCTTAGATGAGAAGATGTGCAGGTTTTTGCAGCCTCGTTTTTACAGGTCTGCCCTTCTACTGACATTCRTTCAGTGCCTGTTATAGCCTTACTTATTCTCCCCAGTCTCTTGCATTACTTATCTCTATTTCCGTGCAGTTTAGTAATGCATCCTTAAATTCATCCCTGTAATTTGYTTCTTTTATTAATACCTACATTCCTGGAGTTTGGTTTCTGTCTTTTTACCTGTGTAAGTAAGGCCAAAGGAGGAAGGATATAAAATGCAAAATGCTACTTTTAAAATGAAAGCTTTTTTCCTTTTTTTTTTCAAGTTTCCATGGGATCACAGGCAAATACACAATCTAAACACACTTAAGCAATAAAGGAAAAATTAATAGCCACCCTTGTTTCTGCTGCTCATTCTTTCCACTGGTATCTACTCTATATCCTACGTGGCTGAAGAAGCTAAGAAAGCCAGTACATAGTTGGCATATTCTGTTTACCCTTACAGAAATCTRTATTTTAATTTACTTCATTATTTCCAGAAGTGTTTTAGTTTTTTAGCTGCTTTATGGAGATAATAATAGTGTGCAGCCACTGTTCTAAACTATACAATTTAATTTTAGAATCCATTTAATCTAAACAATAGTTATGAAGAGATCATGCAGCGAGAGGAAAATGGTTAACTAAATAGTAACTCCTATTACATGAATCTTTAGATAGTTTTCCTAAATATAACCTTTAAAGAGGCTTGTGTTACACAAACTTTTCTACTGTTTTCAGGTGCATAGGCATGTAATGACTTTAAAGGAACCATTTGAAAGAATAAGTAAGAATAAACCCATTATAAAATTAATTACAATTAAGAATTGTACTTAGAATTGCAAGATTAATTAGCTCTTATTCAGAACTTTTTATCAGTAGATCTCCATGTTCTAAAAAAAAAAAAAAAAAAGTTGTAGGAATAAGGTACATGTTTTACAGAAATGTGATTTTACTTATTCCTCTTTCATGGAATTCCACCCTTTTCTTTYGAAGCATATTCCACTGCTTAATAAGTCTTTCTCTAATTAGAAACTGTCTTACTATTTAGTCAAACGTTCCTTGCTGAAATTTCAACTCATTATTTCTCATCTTGTCACTTTTGGCTAATGAGAAATATTTTCCTCATTATAAATTATGAATCTACACACTGCTAGCAAGAAAGCTACAACACTTACACGGCTTAGAAAACACTAGTCACATCTTTAATTGCAGAACTACACAAATTATGGCAAGAGTTAATTAGTGAATTCTCCACAACTCAGTTGTGCTTTCCATGCAGAAATCTTTGAGCTCCTTAAAAATGTTAGCACATTTAATGTAAATAAAGTGACATGCCATGGCTTATTCTCAGCCTCCCAGTGAGGGAAGATGAGTGCCACGGGGGAAGCAAGTAGCTCAGTACAGTAAGTCTGTGGCAGAGCTGTGGAGGGGATCCAAGTCTGCTGATCTGAGTCTGCTGACAGTCGACTTCTGTTATCACAAGACCACGCTTCCTACGTGAGTAGCATTACGGCTTACTAAATGGAGAACTTTGAAGAAATAGCAAGCATATTTTATTTATTCAAAATATAAATACAAGATAAAACATCGAGCATATCCTGCTGGATTAAATAGGTGTTGCAGGTCAAGCAGGTGAATCCTTTCTATCCATTTTTTTCTGTGGATAAAAGGTCAGAAGGAAAGGTGAAGTAGCGGGGTGCCCTAACCTCAGGCTAAAAGAGTTCTTTCCCATGCTCCCATAAAATTTCTCTAATTCTCATGGTGGATCTGCTGATTATTCCTTCTATCTTTTCCCATATTGATCTAACTGTGAGATTGAAATGTGACCCTATATGAAGTAGGAAATGTTTCTTATTTAATTAGGAAATTGTAATTAAAAGACATTTGAATGGGAATGTTCAAGCATATGTGAATCATAGTATTCATCCTTCCCTCCTTCCATGACACTGTATTGCCTGAGTTTCTGCTGCTACCTCCTTGTCTTTATAAGATGTTAATGGTATTATTATAAGGTGAAATGGACTGTGGGATGGGGACTCAAGTGTCACTTAACCAATTTTCTATTGTAGGAAGAGAATCTGACCTTATAATAACTCAAAACAATCACTTATTTTCTGTCAGTCCTTCCACTCTCACATCCCCCACTATTCTTTCATCAAATACAACATCAACACAGAAATCACAACCCCAAGAAATAAGCTTAAGTCCCACAGCTACGCAATATACTGGAGAAGAAATGGAGGCAAGGAAATGACCGTTAAGCCTAAATGTCTCTGTTTCATTTATAGCATAGACAATTTTCTCTTTTGTTAATTACAATGTGATATAGCTGGCAGTCATTGGCCATTTTCTGTAATAGCTGCTTTGTCMGTTTCCTTCAATTTCCTCAATTCAGTCTTCTAAATTTTGCCCAGAATAATACCTTGTAAAAACACACTAATGAAATGTCTCATTAGCTGCTTTCCTTTGTTACTTCTGTCTTGGCAATTCCACTTAGAACTCAAAGTACAGTAGCAATTGTGAAGTACTTTGAAATGTTTTACCTGAAGGGCAATCTAGAAATTCAGCACTGAAATTGCAACCTTTCCTTTTGACCATAACTGTTACATTAGCAGTGTTTGATCAGAAAATGACAGAAGCTGTTTATTTTTCCACTGAATTTAAGCGTTTTTACATTAGTTTAACATTATACATGTGAAAAAAAAATCCAAATAAAATGAGGGGATCTTAGTGATTAAATCTTATAACTGTACTTTGTAATAACCGAAACACAGCAAGTGTCTTAGAAAGAAAAAAAGAGAATTATTTCTTGTTTGGAAAAACTTACAAAGCATAGGTAATTTTAGCCATCATTTTATGCCAGTCTTTTCAGTGTGCTGTAATAATCTTGGGATCAAATGCATTGTGGAGATATGCAATGATTAAAGTGTGCTTTTCTTAATGTAAATTAAGTTGAAGAAATAGATACCGAAAGATAATGGTTCTTGCCCTTTCCCAAATATTAATACTTGAAAAATATTACTTATTAGATTTGGTACTATTTTCTCCTTCATCTTTCAGACCATTTTCAGTGATGAAACTAGAGTCTTGGATTTTTGGTTATATTATCACACTGTTTTTTTACAGAATATTCTCTTTTTATACTCTATAGCGTAAGGCAAAAGAATAACCTTTTATCAACCTGTAATTATGTACTTGCAAAGATTTAAAGAGGAATGCTCAGTTAGAAATATCACCTAGTACTCCTTGGAATCTGGTTGTTAATTTGATGAAGCTTAACTGCTGTTGAGATATATCAGTTATTTTAAGAATTAAAAAAAAATCTCTTACTTGGTCCTCAAAGGAGATTGCCTGAGCAACATCTCTGGGAAATCCATCAATCACTATACCCTCTTCATCAGGGATCTGCATTAATCTCTGCTTTATCTCAGTTATGGTTGTTTCCTTTCACAGAGAGAAAAAAAGCATTTATTCAGTTTTGTAAATGAGGTTTTCTTTATGATGCACATTAATAAAGCTTTTAAAAATCATTAGAAAGCAAAGATTAAATGGAGAGAGGCTTAATTTTATTGTACCTGAGGAGCCAGTTCTCCAGTAGTAATTATTTTAGCAATTAAGCTCCATTTTCTATTGCTGCTTGTGCTGTGGATCTTCTTCCTCAACAGTTCACCAACTGATATGTAGTTGAATCCGTAACGTTCTGCTATTTTCAAACTTTGTGTTCCTTTGCCACTTCCTGGACCACCTGTTGTTAGTTATAAGCAAAATATCACATTGAACTTCTATCTAAAGTACCCCATCCTACACAAAATCACTGTTATCAGACCAATTCCCCCAACCATTAATAGGGCAAAGCTTGCAATTTTCCATGCCATTAGAAATGGTTCTCATCCAGGCCCCAGGGCAGAACATAAATGTAACAGTCTAAAAACACCAATTTACCTGAGAAGTAAAAATGTACATGTTCTTTTGGGCACAAAACCATTCTAAAGATGTTCCTTTAAGGAAGTTTTAATTTCTGGTAGAGAAATAAACTGCACCTTTCTTGAATACTATGCATCCAAAAGCAGAGCCATATTGTCTGCAAACCTTGATAGAAAGAATTATACGTGGCTAGGAAAATCTATTCAGGAATAATACGCTATAAAATCTGCCCCTAAGCGTGTGCCATGAGTTTCTCAGTTCTTGTTTTGTTTTGCCTTTTTTCATTTTTAATACGCATAGAATTTATTTAATAATCAGCTGATATGTTTCCATAGTGATTTGTTACAAGGACTTTCTGTTGAACCATGCATACTTCTGGTACTGATGTTTGAAGCATTGGGGATACAATTTGTTAGGTTCAGCTTGCTGAACAGAACGAAGAATAGAGAGAGACCCTACAAAACAGCACAGGYAGAGTATACATCAACATCACAGAAAACAACTACATTAGCTAGCAGGAAATGATGAAGTGAAGGTCAGCTGAACAGGAGAAGCAAGAATACATGTAAACAGAACACCAAAAGGTCTCAACTAAAAGGACCTGCTATGACAGGAAGGACAATTAATGTAGAAAGTGGAATCTGTTATGTAAAAATAGAGGTTTGTTTTGATAAAAGTATTTATATAGAGGAAAGCATATGTTATTGAACAGTGTAACAAAGCAAAATTAAAACATGTTTTAACGTGAATTTTCAGCACTTAACAGCTATATTTAAAAGTGTTCTGCCTGCACTGCATTTTATTTCTTTTATGGAATTAAGAACTACTAAAAATACAATGATATGCATTTTCTATGAACTTTAAAAAACGCAGCACTGCCATGAAAGTAAATATGAATAAAATGAGTTGTTTGCTAGCAATCATGAAACAGATATAAATATTATTCCCACAAATAGCTCTTAATTATTTATCTAATTAACAGAGATTTGACTGCATGATAGGCTCTATAGTGTTATTTCATATATGGTTATGACATTTTCCTTGTAGCTGTCTTCATATCTGTACCCCAATTAGATGTCAGAGTTTTCAGTGTCAGCAATAATTACCAGGAACTCTTCTGTACCCCCAGTCTTAGTGGTGGTAACTCTGTCTGGCTTTTGCAACTCAAATTTGGACCCATTGGATGAGAATGTGCATGAAAAAATCTCATTTACTATTTAAGACTCTACTTTTTTTCAAATAAATCCCTGAATGTGCATTTTTAACAAGTCCCTGCAGCCTTCTCTCCTTATGCCCTTAGGTAAAGAATGCTTTATCATTATTCAGTTAGTTTAAATAATGCTTTAATTAAGCTAGATTAGGAGAATGCAAATGTGAGCATATTTTCACAGCATCCAAATAGACAATACAGTCACTAATGTTCATGGAACAGACAAGCAGAGGAAAAAAAAGCTATGCCTTGTGAATAAGTAGGATTACAACTAGTTTCCAGAATGACTGCTGATTCTGTGGAAAGATTTCTGTAAATAGCTCTCTAAATATTTACAGTGACATATTGAAATCTTCTGAGCATAACAAATAATGTGTTATATATTATATGCATGTGTATATATATGGATAACAGTTATTAGTATGAGTTTAAATTGATTTGTTTAGTGGCAATAACCCTAGCTAATGGACAAAAGGGGAGGTAGGTTGTGATTGTGCTTTGAGGTAGAGGTTTGTAAAATGTATTGAAGGCAGTACTTTGTTTAATTCTTGTAGAAAATAGAAAAACACTTCCAAGACAGGAAACTCAGTTTATATTTATACATTAGTAAATCTATCTTGTGGGGCTGGAGACATCAGGTAATTCATTTTTAAATATTTTATTCAGGCTGTATCAATAGTAAAAATATGGTTGTCAAAATATGTCAGGAAGCATATTTTCAATCTAGTCTCCCAGTGTTACAATCCCTTAGAAACTTAGTTTTCCACTGATTCAGAGGTGTGCCAGCCTTGCTGGTTTCATGCGACTTTTCTATAATCCAGTCGCATAGTCATTTTGCAGCTTTGAGGCCTTATATTTCACCAGTAGATTTTTCTGCAAACACTGAGGAATAACAAACAACACACCCACCTTTTTGAGTGAGTTATCCTTCACGTCGAAGTTACCTTGTTCATTAAAGGATGATAAATTTTATAAAGTGAAGAAGATGTAAAAACCTTCATGGAAGCATTTAAAAGATCTTGGGGTAATGCATTATTAATGAGAAGTTCATCTAATATGTGAAGCAGAAGACAGCTCTTTAATTTCATCCATTTCAGTCTCCCAAATGAGTATGACTAGTACATACAAATGAGTATGACTAGTACAATTAGTTAGGCAGTATGGTTAGTTATGGTTAGTTAGATAGATATAAGTAGCTTGTTTAATTGAGGCTTTAGACGTTATTTTATGAAAACTGTAAAGTATGCAACATTTATTTTTCATGTTAAATTTCAGTCTTTTCAATTTAGCAGGGCACTTTTTTTCACGTGTTCTCTTTTATTCTGTATATTAATTGTTCTTTTTCTAGAGTATGTCCTCGTGTGCTTTGTCAAGGGGAAGTTGAATTTGGCAGAAATTTTCTTGGTACTATAAAAAATTAGACAATAGATCCTAAGCTTCGTATTTTTGGGGTTTCTCCTATAWCACACTATGCTAGACAGATACAGAGAAGCTCAGTTAGAAAATAAACCTGACAGCATCTGTGAAAAGCATGTGGTGTATAAAAAATATCTAGAATATCTACATCTAGATTTTCTAATATCTAGAATAAGTGGCTATCCAGTATCAAATTTCTGAGAACCACTGGATGCAGAGCCTATAGGAGAAGCTGAGTTCACATTGTATCACATAGGAGAAATATCTACTACTGTTTTTTCTTCTAGACAGTATTTTCTCTTCAGAAAAATGAGTCTTTATAGGCTAAAAATGTGATTGTCCTTCACTTGGTGCCTGTGTTGTAACTATTTACATAGTACAAAGAATCAGAGAATTAGGCTTGCATGTAGAATCTGGAAAGGCAGCTATTCCACATAGTAAGGAAATTAACTAAAAAACTATAATTTAAAAATAAAAAATAATGTTCATTTGGATTTAAACTGTACATGAGTGGTGTTTTTGTGTGAGGCTGGGAAATGTGAGTTTCCCTGAAAGGACTCTGAAGAACATGCAATGGGGAATTTAGGGAAATTTGGGAAAAGGATCAATTAAATAGTGACTACCTGACTCTTCATTCTCCCTGAAGACGGAAGACTCACAGGACTCACTTGCCAAACAGATTTTGCAATTTATTTATCCCTAGATGCAAGGAACATATACTCTAGCTGGACACATTGATCAGTTTTCAGGATTCTAAGTACAAAAGGTAGCAGTTCACTATTATCTTTTGTTTTTAATGAACAGTTTCGATACATCAGTGTTTTAGTTGGATCCAGAAGGTACTTTCARAGAACACTTCAGTTCACATGGTCAAGCAGTCTTGAAATACATGAGCTGAGTTTTTTCAGATTAAATTAAAATGGGACATGTGCCTCAAATGCAAACCATGAGCACTCCAGCTGCTAATGGCCGTTAGGCCTTCGGAACAAGATTACAGGTGCTGACAACTTCCCTAAAATGCTTACAGTCAGGATGCTATTTCCTCAGCATGAACAAATAAACTTTGTAATACACTTCACTTTGGAGTGTATATATTTTTCCTCCAAACCTAGATTTGCTTTTAAATACATGTAGAAATTCACTATATTTGTAGGAGAAATAAAAGGTATCTACATTCATACCTATAACAAGGATGATTTTTGGTCGAGGTCTTGCAGGATCAAACACGTCATATTCCTCAATCAGCTCAGCAGTTTCAGAAAGGTCAGTGTCACTTTCTATAGAAAACTGGTGGATTGGTGGGAGTCGGTCATACCGTCGGTATGGAAAGTTAGAATTATCAGGAATCACTGCAAAACAGTAAAATAAATTGGGAATGCTGAAAATATCTAGAAAAAATAAAATCTATTATGCATAGATGGATAGATTCAAAGAAACAAAAAGCATTAACTAAGTTCAGCATTTTTACAATTAAAAAGTAATAAAATAACTAAATTTAAAATGTGTTTGCTTTTACTGTACTAAATATTCCCTTTCTCTATTTAGCTYATTTGTTAAATTAGAACAATTAAGACTCAGTATTCTTTGGATATTATTTAAATTTACAAGTATTTCAGTTTTCATAGGAAAAGGGGTTGGCAGTGGTTAGTGAAAAGCCTTGTATAGTTCAGATAGTCTGTTTTATTAAATGTAACTCCTCTGGTGCTACATGTGGTATATTGAGATAGAGTAGTACTCTTGCTAATTAGTTTAATGAAATGCTGGATGGCCAGGAAGAATAACTATGGCAACTGAAATACGAGCTAATTATTCATTGTTAACATTATAAAAAAATAATTACAGGTATTGCTATGACATATGCTTAGATTTTATTAATTCTTTTCTAAGAATTTTGCATGTATACTATATTTAATAAATTTGTACACAACTCCAATCTAAGCTAGAAAAAAGAGACTGCTTTTAATATCACATCACCCATGAAGACCAAATAAGAATAAGAGTGAAATACATTGTCAGCTTTACACTTATCACTGTAAATGTTTTAGGTCAGATAAGAGAAATCACTCTTTGTCATGATAAACATTTACAGAGTAAACATCCATCATTAGGCTGCAAAATGACCACAATTTYCTCCCCTGCATAGCATCCATTATAGGAGGAGAAAATGAAATGACAAAATCTAAGTGAACAGAATCCTTGTAATTTGTTTTACAATGGTGGAAAGAATGAGCTTCYCATGCTTGGCATTGTGCATTTTTGTTTGGATGCTTGGATGCTTCTTGCTTATGGAATACCACAATGAAGCAACATCTGCTATAGAAATATGTAGAAATTAAATCAGTTAAAGCCTGCCCATATTACAGGAAACACATTCACTTTTACACTTAGTACATTACCATTCCTGAAAAAAGATCTCCTGGATTGTCCTCCATTGAGTGGAGGGAGGGTCCTCTTTTCTGGACTGACAAAAGTGTCCCATTTCACTTTTTCTGACCCTCCAAGCTCTTTCACTTTCTGCAAACAGCTTTCCAAATATTCTATTGGATCATCGGGTTTGTAACACATCAATCCATTCAACAGACTCTACAACATCAGATCAGAAACACAAACCATAAAGTTAAGTAGCAGGAAAACACAAATTCTTTTATTTGAATTTGATTTTACATGGAGAAATGATGTAGTCTATATTCAAAATCTCTAAATCAAGCCAATGTGTGAAATCTGCAAAAATACACACATCGTGATTTTGCATGAGCTAGAAAAGCCCCTAAAGTTTCACATTCTGTATGTCCTATTAGATCACTAAAATATGTTTTTTCCTGAAAGACCAGTATGGTCACAGGGATCTTATTTGGTCTCAAATATCTCTCTCTTATCTGGTCTCACCTGACCAGAAATTTGTAGCCACTAGAAATTCCCCCCTTATTATTATTATTTCTTTCCTTTAGTGCTAATTACACACTCATTGCACCAATGAGCGTCAGGGGGAGCCTGGAAGAAGCAATGCCAGGCCCTTCCTAGGTGCCTGGGAATTGATTTTTCCTGACAAAACGATACTCAGGTCATCAGCTCGCCGCTCCAAAGACAACTGCAGCCAACCTGCCCTTAGCTACTAGCATGTTCCAGGGTGACGGCTTTTCCTCCGTGCTCTTGGCCATTCCTGATTTTGGTGCAAACAAGCTGAGGGCCATAGCTGATACTTGTAATAAACAGAAATAGCTGTGATTCATGACTTCATATTTCCCTTCGGTTATTTGTTATTATCTGCTGTTAATTCCAGTATTTTCAATAGTGATACATACATAGGTATTGACAAGAGAGAATATAATTTATATGCATATAAATATGCCCTTACAGCAGCCAGAAACACATTTTATTCTAATATATGCACCAATTTTTTCAGTTGCTAGCACAAGCCTCACGCCTCTATTGAAAACCCAGTTGCCTGCATCTATTGTTAAATGATACATATTTCAAATGTATTAGTACAACACACACGGTCCCAGCCCTAGCACTTTAAAACACACATAACAAATATTTTTGCTTCACAAGAGCCCAGGAAAGAAAGATGTTTAGCTCTGCGAGTTTTACATCCCGGATGGGCGATGCTGTGGGAGGTGAAACGCACCTTGGATAGGAGAGGGGCAGTCAGCAGCCGTTGGCAGCGGGCAACTTATACGAAGCCGAGCAGAGCTTACCGAGCAGCTCGGGATTTCTTTTTTTCTTCTTCATTTTTTTTTTTTTTCTGTGTTTTCTCTCGCATTGGTCAAAACCGGGGGAACCAGCGCAGAGCAGCGCCCGTCCCGGCCCCGCGGGTTGGCGCCCGCCCTCACACGGCGGCGCCTCGCGCTGCCCCTGAGGGGCGCGGCCGTTGCCACAGGTGGGGCCGGGGCGGCGCGCGCGGCCGTTGGGGGCAGCGCGGCCGTTGGGGCAGGGCGGCCGTTGGTGCCCCTCGGCGCCCGGCGCGGGGGCAGCGGCGCGCGCTGCCTGCGGGCGCTCCGCGGGGCTGCGCGTCCTTGCGGCCACCTTCAGCGGCTCCCCCCGCCGCCTCCCGGGCAGCGCCCCGCGCGTCGCCTACCTCGAAGAGCTGCGGGATCTCCCTGCGCGCCAGATACTCCTTGGCCTCGCCGGCGCTCATGCCGCCGGCCGGGGACGAGCCCCGCGCACCGCCGGCAGGCGCGGCGATGCAGTGCGGACGGCTCGGCGAGCGTGCGAGCGAGCCGGGGCGGGGAGGAGGGCGGGATGGCGGGCGGGCCGGCGGGAGGGCTGCCCGCCTCCCGGGCCGGCGGAGCGGGAGCGGAGCGGAGCGGCGCGGAGCGCGCTCGGCGGCTGCGGGCTGGCGCTGCGCCCGCTCTGCGCGCCAAAGTTGGGGCGGCGTTTGCAGCCCCGCGCTCTCCTGCCTTGGCGAGGCGACTCCGGCGCTCGGGAAAAGAGGCGGCTCCGGGGCCTCGGGGAGGTGGAAGCCCCGGTCTGTGCTCACCTAGGAGCTGTGCGAGGTCCGAGCTCCAAGCAGGGCAGCTCTGCGGTCAGAGCGGGTGGCTCAGGGCTTTGGCTGGCCTGGTCCCGCAGACCTCCTAGAATGGAGGTCTGTGACCACCGTCCAGCACAGCTCACTCCTTTCCTTCCATCACTCAAAACCTTTCCTTCCATCACTCAAAGCTCTGTTGCCTCAAGTGGGCTGATGTCCACCGTTGCAAAGAGCCTGGTTCCATGTTCTTGATGACCCCCTTGCAGGCATTCAACTGCTGCTGTTATGTCCCCTTGAAGTCTTCTCTGGGCTAAATAAGTCCAGTTCCCCTGCCTGTCCTCACAGGCAGGTGCTCCAGCCACGTTGGTGACCATCCATGAAATTACTCTGGTTTAAAAACATCCTTCTTTTCTGGAGAAGCCCCAGATCGGATTTGGTTATTCTAGGTGTGCTCTAAATGGGCACCAATGAGGGAGTATATGCTGTGATGTTCTCTGACGTGCTGGAAATCAGAGTAGATGATTTCACAGATCTTCGTATTTTGCCTGATATAACAAACCTGATGTTCTAATCAGAGTTGGTTTTTTTTAATACCTTTCCAACAGAAACATCATCCATATAGTTTTACTGTTGCAAACCTTAAAAGAAGTTGGTTACATAAGTGCAAGCTGAACAGCTGCTTTCCACATCTCAGGATGCATTTCCCTTTCGTGCCTAGGTTTGTCTGTGGAGCAGCATCAGCTTCTTTGCCCCTTGTACGCAGTGATATTCTTTCTTTCTGCAGTTAAACTGCCTCCTTTCTCCTCTCCTCCAGCCTTCCAGGTAAATATTATCCTTTCTCTTGCAGAGGCTTCCAGTCCTTTTTCTTCCCTGATTTGATGAGCCCCAGGGAAGAACCAGGAGCTTCTTCAGACAGATGGGACAGGAAGGTTGTTCAGGTGCTCAGCCAGCCAGTTATGGGAGCTCCTGATGCTCCTCTGCTGATGGCCTATTTTCCATTTCATCTGAAATATCTCTGGGAAGAAATTTGGATGAAACAGTTTAAGATCCTTTCTAGCTCTATTGCCTATAAATCCAGTGGTGCTCAAGTAAAGCAAGCTGCAGTAGTATCAATAACTGGAATAGCTGTTATATCTAAGAAACACTTTAGTCTTCAGTTTTAATTCATCTGTTGTCCTCATGCTGTGATGAAATGCTGGCTGCAGCTTGAACCCTACTCTCTTGAATGAATAGAAGATGTCATACTAAGATGAGAGATCTACGAACATATAACAGTTTTTTTWAAAAAAAATTTTAACTTATGCTAGGAAAAATCTAGTTAAACCTGAGAGTCTAGGAAAAAATATATTTACAGGCTTGCAGTATATATATTTATATATATTTAGCATTTATAGGTAAATTACTATCCTATCCAATGTATTGAGTTGATGGAGGGAAATATTCTTTTTCTTAATAGAGAAAAATACTCTTTTTCACATGCTTTCTGATTTTTTTTGCATACTTTCTATCCTCTTCCCCAGGAATGTGAATTTTATTTTGTGTGTGAGGTCTTGTCGGAGGTTTATTTATTTTTACCATAACCTCCCAGCTATTTCATTCAGATTATGCTAAGAAAAAATAAAATTCTGACTGTTGTGCTATATAAGTATTATGATTATGCATATCTGAGTTATTGCCTGAAATAAAATATTTTGAGCCAATTTGAGTTTTTTACAGAATCCAGTTCTGTATTACAGAAGGTACAACCTCAAAAAAAAAAAAAAAAAAAAAAAAAAGTGCTGCTTAGGAAACATATCGGACTGTATGTATGTAATATATCTAGAAATAACATTTTTGGATCTAGTATTGTGGCACCTCTTCTGAAGAAGCTTGTTGCATCTTTGCCTGTGGCAAAGTCTGTGTATTGCAGGGATATGTACAGCAAGCAGGGTCACAGGCAGCTGCTTCTAGCAGGCTCTACAGACCCTCAGCAACAACAGACTAAAGGGGCTTCCAAAGCTCGGCTACTTCTCATCGCAGCTGCTTGGGTAGCTGGAAGGCTTGAAGGTCTGCGGCTTGTCGTTTAACATGATCTGATTGAGCGCACGGCTGGAAAAGAAATGGCCCTACTGCCGTAGAAAGTAACASTGACCCCAAAATGCTGGCGGAAATGGGAACATGGGTTTGAATCGGAGAGCGCAGCCCAGTCCTGGCTCTGCTGCAAGGAGGCTGGCAGTAGGTTCACCTCAGTGATGCTACCAGCACTGCTGCCTACCTGTCTTGGAGCAGAAAGCACAACGTTTTGCGTCTACATGATAATTTAGCAGTTCCGGGAATTCATCCTGAACCTACTTATGGGCACCATACCCTAGGGCTGGCTTCAGTCTCATTCTCATTGGTTCTTCCACTAAAAGCTGTGAAGCTGAACTAAAAAGATATTAGTATGCAGGTGGCAGTAATCTGCCATTCTGGGCTTTTTTTCCACAGTTAAACCAGTTGTGTGCTATCCTTAGCCTTCAGTCTAATCTTCATTTAGTTTTGTGTTTTCAAAAATCACAGCACTGTACCAGAGCCCTCTATATTTTTGTGTTTAGTGCCCATTCAAGCCCTGGTGACTGTAATTTTTCACATAAGCTGCTGCTCTGCTAGATGTCTGTATTAAATCAGAACTAATGTTCCTGGGCTGGTCTGCTTACACACACTGGTGCAATATATGTGAACAGACTGAATTGTAGATTCTGTAAGTAAAATAATCATGTACAACCTTTTTAATACAATATGCTGAGTGATACCTTTCTGATTCAGAAACAGCATGCATTTTAATGTAAATGCACAAATTGCTGCAGCCCTACATTTTGCCCAGTCCTGTGGTGTGTTGTAAGTTAATGCAACATTGATAAGGTTTTTCCCTTTTAAAGGGAAAGTTCTTTTGGATCTTTCTTGCTATAGTGTTTTTTAACCTGCTCTTTTCCTCTCCTTTTCCTTTGCATTTTGCTATCTTTTTTTTTAATTTTTCCTTTTTTTACTGATATCTAAAGAGGTTACGTAACTGACCTAAATCACTAATTAAAAAGTAGCAAACATTCTGCCTGATAGAATTTCATCTCTGGATTTAATTTTCACTTAGTTCCAGCCCTGCCATTTTTATATAACTTTTGTGGACACCAAGAAATATAAATCCTCTAAATGAAGAAAGAAAGTTGTATTAGTTAAATATTTGAAAACATGTCTACACGGAAAAAATCAGATCAAAACACTGCTATCATCAGGTGACTCCTTAGCCTACCTTTTAATAAGCTAAATAGAGACAGTTTTTATTTTCCCATTGTGATGTAATCCTTCTTCTGAGCCTTCCCTGAATCCTTTCCAGTTTCTTGATGGCTGCTGCAGCTATGGCATCAGGCAGGACACCGCGTTCCCAAAACAATGTCGCAGGTGCTGGATCCTGGTGACTCAGCTGCCTGGACCGTTGTGGCAGTCCTGATTCTGTTGTGGATGCGCTGATGGATTGAGTTTCTGCAGTGGCCCTGGTGCTGCAGAGGCATTCAGCCTTAGCTGGTTATCTGGCAGGCGTGTTTTCCAGTCTGCTGTTTTCCAACAYAGATTCCTCCACTGCATGAGCTGACCTCTCTTCCTTATGCCTAGATGCGTAACTTCATGTTTTTGCTTTCAGTCAGTTTACCAAGAATGCTGGTTTCTTAGTACCAATGGAGGCGTCCCATATGTTAGCTACCACTTCCCCAATCTTTGTTATCTTCCAGTGTTACCAGTGCCTTTTTGGAGGGGTAATTGATAAAATTGTTATATCACAGGTGTCCAAAATCAAGTTTCCATGGGTTCCCATTCSAAGCTAGAAATTCATGTAAAAAATATTTCCCATTTATACTTCAATTTTGAGGGTGGTCAATTAGCCATTAAAAATATGTGCATAAATTTTATTCACTGAAATTTCTTAAACAAAATATCCTGCCACACTAAATAAATGCCTTCAAATCCCATTTTTATCAACTAAAACAAATATCAGCTTAGACTGACTAAAAGCTAGTGCTGATGAGCATTAATTAAGTTCCATATTAATCATATTCCTGGAGGCTCCTAGCAGTTTTTTACTGAGATTTGTGTTAGATGGATAGGCTGTAATTCTCTAGGTCACCATATACTCCTTAAAAATACTTGTGTATTTCTACAATGCAGGTATCTTAAGAATTATAAATAACCTCTTGCAGCTGCTTTAAAACTCTGATAGATACCCAGATAAGCAGATTTACTCGGCTGCTTTTAGTATTCATTGACTGCAGTTGTAATGTAAAGTGCTTTGTCATCATACTGTGATGTAATTGCATTACCTGATTGTTTCTCTGTATACAGAARAATATTTACTGAAGGCTTCCAATTGCTTTTGTTATATCCATGCAATCATATTCCAGTAGTGTTTTTAGGATCCTGCTTTTTTTTTTTTTCCCCCCTTCTATACAGAAATATAGCTCTTTTTAATCCTGCTGCTGTCTGACCTTTGACTTTTTATGTCTTTTTTTTTCTTTCTTTTCTCATCTTTCTACTGTTCTCACTTTAATGTCTCATTTATTGCTCCTAGTATTTTTACAGATCTTTTCCCTATTTTGTACATCCTTTTTTAAGCCAAACTGCATTTTAATTGGTGCTATATTTGAGAGTGTTTTGCCTGATTTTCTTGAGAAATTCTCATTCGTGTACAATTCTCCTTACCCCTCACCTAGCTCATA